AACTGAAAATCTTTTTGTTAACTGACCTGCTCCTGTCTGGTGTAACTATGGAGCTCTGATGTAACTATGGCTATTGACTTTGCCCCTGGTATAATTGTGGTTTTAAGCTTTATAAACCCTGCCCTGCTTCTCAGGGTCGGGAGCTCTTTTGGGCATTAGCCCCCTCTCTGACTGTGGTCTAGTAATAAAGGACTCCTAATTTGACCATCACTATGTGGTGTTCCATGCATCTGGCTCTGTATTACAATGGGTGTAAGAGAACTGACTACCACAAGTTGTTCTCTACCTCCAGACTCACTCTGGGCACACACACATAAATGTATGAAAAATAGATTTAAGGTAGGTGCCTACCTAAATCATGTTTACAGCATAGTCTTAAAGGTGGCTGTTCATGGAGGCAAGGCAAGGCAAAGTTTGCAGGCCTTTGTAGCCTGGTGCCTGAGAATTCAGCAAGTTCCATAAAACTACTGGACAATTTAAAGCATAACCTCTTCTGCCTCAGCTAATTGCTTCAGTAAAATTTTAATTTTCTAAAAGTAATCATAAACTCCTTAATAAAAACATACTTCTGGGCTGGAGAAATGGCTCAGCAGTTAAGAATATGCACTGCTCTTCCAGAGGACCTGAGTTCAGTTCCCAACACCCAGGTCAGGCTGCTGACAACTGGTCTGTAACTTCAGCTCCAGAGGGATCCAGTGTCTCTGACTTCTGCCAGCACTGCATATACACACATAATTAAAATCTTTATAAAATGCTTTTATCATGACATATAGTTTTATAAAATGTTATGTACAGATTAAATAATAATAATGTGAACAAACCCTGACTAGCTTTCCAAATTTAGGAAACAGAGCAAGCACCTCTGAAGGCCCCAAGTTCTCAGTTCATCAGATCCCCATACTTAAAGTGAGACTTTTTTTTTGGTCTTTTTGAGACAGGGTCTCCCTGTAGCCCCAGCTGTCCTGGAACTCACTATGTAGACCAGGCTGGCCTTGAACTCACAGAGATCCACCTGCCTCTGCCTCCTGAGTGCTGGGATTAAAGGCATGTACCACCACGCCCAGCTAAAGTGAGACTTTTATCCTGACATTAGTGTTAATCACTCTCTTACATTCTTCTGGATTGTCTTACCTGTGTGTGACTGCAACAAAACATAGTGCTGAGTTTTAAGAAGCTGAGCAGTAAGTAGACCTAGCATAGCAAGAGCAATAACACTTCCAATTGGTACTAGAGGCTGAGCAGAGGGACCAGGTTTTAGCTCATGACCTCTGAGCCTGCAGGTATAGAAATCAGGGGCCAATGTAAAGTAGGTACTGCTGGTTGAGAAAAAAATTCAGGGGCCACTAGGTTTTAGCCTCCAGACTCATCACTGGACCAGAGTTGAAGCGACATGCCTGGAAGGGACATCAGTGTCACCAGGCACACCTGGACATTCTGCCTTCACGTATGAGGACAGCTAATTGCACTGCGGTCATAACCCAGGCATCTGTACTGATTCCCTATGGTGGGAAGCACAGCTCTCCTATGCCTCTTTGGGGATGTCCTTTCCTCTCCATTCACTTCCTCATTTTGGTGGGAGCACAATCCTCCCAGTTTTCTGAGCAAGCTTGAGAGATGTTCATAGACATAGCTGACTGGAGGTCATCAGCTGAGCCTCCACCCACTCCAGATCAGCCTCAGGGTCTCTGGACTCAGAGGACCAGCCAAGTGGTTGTAGTCTCAGGAAATGAAGTCAAATTGATTCTGAAGTTATTTTGGCCAGTGCTGGTCTGCCCATGGGATGCCACAATGGAAAGGAAGTCTGTGGGCCCTGCAGTCTGGGTATAGATATATGGTGCTTGACTGATGCTGGTCACAAGAATGTCTGTCTAGAACTGGGTCACTACATAGAGGCCCTAGGGCTCTCTTGACACCCTCACAGGTCATTCTTTAACTGGCTTCTACATTCCAAGACAAGTGCAGATTCCTCTGTTCTCATCTGACCAGTCCTTCCTGTCCAAAGGCTGCCAGACACTGCATTCTGGGGTGTTTCTCTGAAATCTGAAGGAGGGCCCAAGGAGCCATATCCCATGTATCTGATTCTTCCCTTGGCACTACACACTGGCTACTAGGAGGGCACGCTGCATGTTGGCAGGACAGCAAACCCGAAACTGAGTCCAAGTTGCCATTTTCCCCCATCTGAGTACTACTTGTGGACACTCCTGTGCAGGTCACTTTCCAACCCCTGGTTGGGTTTCTCATCTTTAAGTTGCAATGGTGGGGCTTCAAGGATTCTTGCATGAGAGGACAGATGAGCCTGTCATGAGGAAACTTCCTGAACAAACATACCTAACCAAGGTTTTACCAGCACTTCTGAGTCCCCTCTACTTCATATCTTCTAGCCACTCCAAAAGCAACCACCCACCTGTTTAAAACAGCATCAAAACTTTTGCCTTTTTGATTTTTATGCTTAGACACTCATTCTGGTGATGATGTGCCTGACTAGGAGCTCCAGCTTACCACTACTTTAAGCATCCTGAGTATCATCCACTACTGGCTTTCCAACAAAGTTAAAAAAACCCAAACTTTGAGATACATCTCTTATTAAATGTATCTATCACATTATTGGAAGCTGATGTACCTGTATAGTAAGATTATAGATGATGACCTAGGGGGTAGCTTCCTCCACTGACCATTAATGAGTGGCCCCTTGGAATTTGTCATGGCTGGCTGGTCATGTTCTGGGGCATGAAAATATTAATCTGTTTTACTAATGATGGATATTTGGGCTGTTTCCAGTTCTGTGGCTTTTGTGTTTTTTATTTTTTAATTTTATGTGTATGTGTTCTGCCTGCATGTAAGTACACCATGCATGCAAACCTGCAGAGGCAAGAGGTTGTCTGATCCCCTCAAACTGGAGTTATGAACAGTTATGAGCTGCCATATGGGTGATGGGACCCGAACCTGGGTCCTCTACAAGAGCAGCCAATGCTCAGCCAGTGCTCTTAACCACCTCTCCAGCCCTGCAAGAGCCCTTGCTAACAAAGGAGAATGGATAACATGGAAAAACTAGCAATGTCAGCCCTAGACCAAATTAGGCTGTAAGTTTTGAGCTTGTTCCCCATCAGGTCAGCAGTGTCTGGTGCAAATTATACTTCTTAAAATGGGCAAACCTTTGACAATGAGTATAGCAGATGTCTTTCCAGATGTTTCTGGACACAGGCATCTTTTTCACAGGAGGAAAGTTAGTTATCCACAGACTAGAATTCAGACGGTATTAGCAAGTCCCCTTGAACAAATCTATTTTTGAGTGGGAGAGGTCGGTAAACCTCTGTGAGTTCAAGGTCAACCTGGTCTACACAGCGAGACTGTCTCAAAATACAAAACAAGAATTTGCAAAGATGTTGGTAGTATCTATGTTCTGTTCACTAGTTGCCTTCTTTTTAACTCAAACAGTTGTCATCCCTTGCATGATCTATATTTAGTCTAGGCTACCAGAAAGTTGGTACTTCGACCCAATATTTAGTAGTCAGGAAGACCTCTGCCTTTTCTCATCTTTGATGTCAGATGGCTTTTCATCTGACAGATAATAAACACAACATGAAGGCCTGGTGTGGTGGTGCACGCCTTTAATCCCAGCACTCGGGAGGCAGAGGCAGGCTGATCTCTGTGAGTTCAAGGTCTCATAGTGAGTTCCAGGCCAGCTGGGGCTACAGGGAGACCCTGTCTCACCAAAAATAATAAAATAAATAATGAAATTCACTGTTTAAGGTCTTCTGGTGTGTGCTTCTAATTTTCCCCTTCACCCTTAAGTCATCTATTTCTACTGATCCAGTTTGCTTTTTTCTGTCCTGTTTGGTTTCTTTTGGGATCCTATAGCACTCTCCTCTTTGGTGTCTTTAATATTCAAACTTTTTAAGGTAGAAAATATTTATTTTGACTCCAGGTTTCAGGGTATAGTCCATCATAGCAGAGAAGGTGTGGCAGTAGGAGTGAAGCTCCTGTCACATCACCTCTACAGTCAGGAAGCAGGAAGAGGTGCACGATGGTGCTCAGCACACTTCCTTTTTCCCTTTTTAGTCATTCTAGGCCCTCTGCCCCTGGGATGGTACCACTCGTTTTCAGGGTGGGTCTTCTCTCCCCAGTTAAACCTCTGGAAAAACCCTTATAGATAATACCCAGAGATGTGCCTCTTAGATGATTCTAAATTCAGTCAAGTAGACAGTGAAGAATAACCCTCGCATACACATTTTAGCATGCTTTTCTTTTTTCAACTTTTACAAAAACTTGAGAATTTCATACATGCATATAAGGTGTTTGTGGCACATGCCTTTAATCGCAGCACTCGGGAGGCAGAGGCAGGCAGATCTCTGTGAGTTCGAGGCCAGCCTGGTCTACATAGCGAGTTCCAGGCCAGCTGGGGCTACAGGGAGACCCTGTCTCAAAACAAGACCAATATTCAAACTCTTCAGCAGTCTGTGACCTTCTGTAAGGTCCTAAAAATGGGGGAGGGGGGCAGGGAACCATTGTCTGGTTGACGTTTGTAACCCTAATTTGATTTCATATTTTCCAATTTTATTCTTTAAGTATTTGCAACATTTATTGTGTGAGACAGTAATTAATTCTACAATGTACGAGTTCCTGTGCTCAAACTCTGGTCATCAGACTTGGTGGCCAAGCACCTTTTCCTACTAAACCATCTCACTGGCCCATTTCATCATTTCATTTTTTAAAGATAGGATCTCACTATGTAGGTATGGCTGGCCTAGAACTCTCTATGTAGACCAGGCTAGCCTCAAACTCGGTGATCCACCTACCTCTGTCTCCTGAGTGCTGGAAATAAAGGTATGGGACGTACTATGTAGACCAGGCCGGACTCAATCTCACAGAGATCTGCCTGCCTCTGCCTCCCAAGTGCTGGGATTAAAGGCATGCAACCACCATGTCTGGCTACTAATTTCACTCTTAAAAGTAGCCTCAGAGTTTGTAGAATGAGATGAAGTAAAAATTTAGAAAGAACATGAAATAACCGGATCTGTTTATATAATATCAATATACAGCAAACAACACTATAAAAGATTAGATGACATTAATCACGACACAATCAAACTCGTCATAAAACACTGGCTTAGAAACTCATGAAAGACACGGAGGCCAAGAGGAAAGGACAAATCTGAGACATCTGAACATCAAAGATGGTAATAGATAAGTTATACACTGAAAAATGTGGTTAATATGATGGGTCTGGAATACAGATATTATAAGTGAATATACCTTCGCACAACATAGTGTAAATTTAAATAAAAATAAAAAGGGTTAATTCCCTGGTACAAGAAGCCTGACAGAACCACCTGAATCAAGTGATCATAGCAACCATCGCAAGTAACAGAACACACTGAAATTACATGCTACCTGATAGGATGCAGAGAACAGTGCTATTCACAATAATCTTCATAAAATGTAGTATTTGGTTCTAATCATGAAGAAATATCAGAGAAAGGTATCCCAAGGCAATCTCCTAGTCACTGGCCCATGGACTTCAAAAAAGAAACTCTTACAAACTTTAAGGCAACTAAAGACTCAACAGATTACTGTAAACTAGATCCTTTTGCTGTGATTGACTTTGCCACAGGCAGAGAAGCTTGACTTGAGAATTAGCTGGTAGGAATGGGTCAGCATTTTTGATGACTGGTTAAGGATAAAAATACCCTGGTATGCAGGAAACCTACGTGAAAGCATATCTGGGGCGATGGGAATGTTGGGTGGCCAATTCTTAAGAGAAAATGTCTCAAAACAAAAAATTTAAAAAATTTACTGATTTTTTTCTAATTTTCATACAGTTTGATACCCTACCCACACCTCCCCCCACTACCTAATTCAGTGTACTCTCATATGTATATTACACACACACACACACACACACACACACACACACACACTGTAGTCTGATTTGTGACCCCAAATGTCCTTCAGTGTGGGTCCATCCACTTGGCCCACCAAGAGTCCCACCCATGTAAGACTGTCTTTCTCCCTCCCAGGAGACATCAGTTGCCCAAAGTTCCTCAGGTTGGGTTGGGTTTTCTTACCCACTTCCCCAGGGCTATGCTGGGATTTATCTGGTTTGAGCTTACACAAGACTTGGGCATGCTATTACCATTACTACTGAGTTCAGATGAGTAACTGATCAGCTGTCTGTTAAGACTGTTTCTTTGTGGTCATCCACCCCCTCTGGCTCTTACAATCTTTCTACCTCCTCTTCCACAATGGTGCCTGAGCCTTGGGAAGTAGAGGCTTGAAATAGGTGTCCTACTTAGAGATAAGTACTCTGTGGCCTCTTGTTCTGCATATTGGCCAACTGCGGATTCCTGTGTTAATCATCATCTGCTGCATATGGAAACTTCTCTGATGATCAGAGTTGAGAGATGCATTCATCGTATGTGTGGAGGCTGCATTGAAGATGTGTCACTTAGGATTAAGCATCTCAGACACTTATTCTCTACATGTGACCAGTTCTGGGACTCTGAAACAGTCTCCATCTGTTGCAAAAAGCAGCTTCTTTGATGAGGGGTGAAAGGTATACTTGCCTGTAAATATGAGGATGGATATTTAGAATGAAGAAATTAGGTTTTCTCCCTAGGATCTATGATCTCCAGCCACGTGTATTTGGCTATGTTTACAGGAACACACGTGTTCTCTCCCATTGAGCCAGCTTTAATTCCAATTAGAGAGCTGTTGCTTAACACCAAGATAAAAGTGCCCCTACTGCACCAAGAGCAATAGTTTGCGGACTCAGCTGTCCTTATTAGGCTTCACAGCTGGATAGGACCACTGATTGGTTTTCTCCCTTGGCAGCTTGTATAGTGTCTTGATACAGTAAGAGCTTGTCTTCAAGGAAGGAAGCTTCCAGGTGTTTCAGTTCAACCGCTCCAGGTCCTGTGTGGGAAGCATGGCCTGTCTTTGGCAATAGTGTCTTACTTTCAAGTTTTAAGAAGCAATCATGGGTTGTGGCAATAGCCCGTGTTATTTTGGGAGTGTCTCGAACTATCCTGACCAATAACTGGAACGGAGGTCTCCCCTGCCTGGCACTTTTTTTGTTGCTGTTACATAGCCTTCAGCTATACACATACTGTTGTGTAATATATTGTATGGGTATTTTTCAGTAGGACTTTGACTTAATACATTTTCCTCTAGTTTTTCATGCCATCTAAACATTCTTTGTCTCTCCTCACCCCCTGTATAACCCTTTCTACTCCTTCCCCAGTTAAAATACCCCACTTTCTCCCTTTGTAACACCTCCTACGATTCCCCTCTCTCAATCTCTTTTTCCCTCTTTATCCTTATGGTTCCTTTCCATTTTTCTGGCTCCTGTGGTTACATCAGGATATATATTCACATCTAGGGATCTGGAGTTAATATCCACAAATGAGAACACATTTCACTCGTTTTTCTAAAACTATGTTACTTCACATAGTATAACAGTATCTAGTTCCATTCACTTACCTGAGAATTTCATGAACTTCTAAAGAGAAACTCTTACACACTTTAAGGCAGCTAAAGACTCAACACATCACAATAGCTCGTTTTAAACTAGATTCTTTTGCTGTGACTTTGTGACAGCTGGAGAAGCTTGACTGGAACTTGAGAATTATATGGTAGCAACGGGTCAACGTTTCTGATGACTGGTTATGCAGAAAAGATCCTGGTGTGCGGGAAACCTACATAAAAGTATTATCTGGGGTGATGGGATGCCAGGTGGACACTGCTCAGGGGAAATAGTCCTTTGTAACTTTTGTGTATGGTTAAGATGGTTCAAATTAAAATTTTATTAGAATAAAGTTCTTCCCCCCCTTTTTTAAAGAGGAAGTAGGAAGTGTTCCCACAAGGCTGGCTAGATGAGAATAATCTTCAGCTCCAGCTTGGTCTCATTAATTTGATTAAGATGCTTACAATGAAACCACATCTGTGTCAAGCTAAAAGCAGATCCGTCAGAGTGAGTGTGGTTCTCAGTCAGTCCCATACACTAGATACCAGCATGCAGGGTGCTGGGCTGTCATTCGCTGAGCGCCTTCTTCAGAGCTTCATACATCATCTGCTCCTGGGAGGACAGAAAGCAACATACAATGCTGCTGAACTGGTTATGGAATGGGTGGTGTAATTTCAGTGTTTCCATGTTGAAGCCCTAACCCTTAGGACCTCAAGAGTGTGGTTATACTTGGAGATAAGACTTACACAGAGGTGATTAGGTCAAAATAAGGTCCTAACTAAAATAAGGCCATAATGGTGGGTCTTAATTCCAAAAGACTGGAGTCCTTGTAAGAAGAGCAAGTGGGGGCACAGAAATGCAGCGGGATGATCATGTGGAGACACACACAAGGAGAGGAGCCACTTGCAAGGACAGACACCTCAGAACTCTGACAAGACAATAGCTGAAAGAGAGTATTTTTAATGAATCAATGTGTGTGTGTTTGTGTATACATGTGTGTCGTCAACAGACAACTTGCAAAGAGTTGGTTTTCTCCTTCTACCATTTGAGTTCTAAGGATTGGACTCAGGTTGCCAGGTTTGGTGGCAAGTGCTCTTATCCCCTGAGCCATTTTGCTGTCCCTGTTGACAACATCTTGATCTTAGATGTCTGATCTCCAGAATGGTGAGAAACAGAGTCTCTGCTGTCTAAGCCCCAGTCTGTAGCCCTTTTTGGTTATAGCAGTCTGCTTGCTGTAGGACAGAGAGCCTGCCTTGCCTCCTGTATCTAGTCTTCACACGCTCCTTTCTAGGGAATGCCATGACTTCTAGTTGTCTATTGAAATTTGAAAATAGGTCTAGAAGCATTTGAGTCTACATCTAAGTAATGAAGAAAGCAAAATTATAAACTATACTGATCAGGATAGAAACAGAGGGCAAAAGCAGAATTCTGAAGTGTTTTAACATTTCCAAGAAACTGCCAGAATAGTTTACAATTCTTTCTGTTCTATCATATGCTTCCTGTAACAATATATGGAATTTCTAGTGTCTCATGTCCTTGCCTCCCTTGATGTGGTTAATCTTTTAAATTTCTATCATCCCAGCAAGCGTGTACTGAACTCTGACTGTGTATGCCTGTGTCTGTGTGGGGGTATATGCGTGAGTGCAATTACCTGCAAAAGCCAGAAGAGGGTATCAGATTCCCTGGAACTGGAGTTACAGGCATGTCGGGAGCTGTTAATCCATTATGTACATAAGCTGTGGCAGGCCTGTTTACTGAGTTTGTGTTTTGCACACCAGTACCTAATCTGCCAAATCAGGAGGAATGTGTTTATATGGTGGAGCTCACAAAACAAGTATTTGACAGCTCCTTGACCCTCAGATACAGGTGGGAAAAACAGCTGTTGAAGCTAATTGAGTGAAGCAAACGGTGGCTATCTCTGATGTTCTACTGTATAAAAAGGTGGAGCTAAAATAAAGCCGGGCTGCAGTCTCTGCTGACAGTCCTCCCAAGTATCTTTTCTCTGTCTCTTGTTTTCTCTCAATCCTCACTCCCCCTTTCAGGTGCTGTTCACCTAAGGCCGGCTGGCACCAGCAGTCAGTACTGAAAAACAAAGTCTGCAAGCTCTAGGTTCAGTGAGAAGCTCTCTACTGACAGTCCTCCCAAGTATCTTCTCTGTCTCTTGTTTTTTCTTTCAATCCTCACTCCCCCTTTCAGGTACTGTCCATCTTGGCCAGCTAGCACCGGCACAGGCAGTTGTGAGACCCTTGACTAGAGTGCTTTGAGCTGAACTTGGGCCCTCTGCAACACGAGTACACATTTAACCCCTGAGCCATCTCTTTGGCCCCCACAGTAACTTTTTAATTGCTGGGTGGCAATTCTACTTCCTATTTATCCCCAAGAAAAAATTGCCATGTGTTTTCATTTATTTCTAGCCCTTTAAAAATCTGTTTCACAGCCAGCAGGTAAAGATGCTTACTGTCAGACCTAATGACCTGTGTTCAATCCTCAGAACAAACATGGCGAAAAAAGGGAACCAACTCCTGTCTTCTGATTTCCACGTATATGCCACGGCATACATGTGCCTAAAAGTGTGTGAGTGCACGTGCATGCGCACACACAGACAAAATATAAACAAAAAATTAAAAAGCTAAGTGTGCAGGGTGTGGTGGCTTACACCTGTAATCTGAACACTCAGAACGGTGAAATAGGAGGATAGCCATGAGTTCAAGGGCAGCCAGGGCTACAGAATGAAACCACAAACAGGAGCTAGTTAATCCCAGAACTCAGGAAGCAGAGGCAGGAAGATCTCTGTGAGCTGGAGGCCAGTCTGGTCTATACCAGAATTCCAGGCCATCCAGGCTACATGATGAGACCCTGTCTCAAACAAACAAATAAAATGGGCTGCAAATGTAGCTCAGTTTGTAGAGTGCTTGCCTAGCATGCTTAAAGCCCTAGTTTTAATCCTTGGCATCACATAAAGCAAGGTGTGGTGGATACCTGCCTGTAACTTAGCACTTAGGAGGTAGAAACAGGAAGATCAGAAGTTCAAGACTATCCTCAACTAGACAGGGAGGTCAAAAATCAACCTGGGCTACATAAAAGAAAACAAAATAACGCTAAACAAACAAACACACAAAGCCAATTGGGTTAAAGTTTTCTTCTGGATAGGTAAAATGACCGTAAGTGTTAAAAATTATATAATACTCGGGCCAGAAGCATGGTTTAGTGGGTAAAGGTGCTTGTCATCAAGTCTGATGACCTGAGTTCTATACCTGGGATCAACATGGTGGAAGGAAAGAACTGACTTCTGCAAATTGTCCTCTGACCTTCATATGTGTGCCAGACAGACACATACATAATAAATAAATGTAAAAAGAATTTAAAAACAGATAAATTATAGAAATTAAAATACATTTTAACACTTTAGAAGGGAAAAAGCATTTTTCTCTCCCATACTGCAATTTCCTTCAAGCAAGCAATGTATATTTTTGTATCTTCCTTCTAGAAATAAAAGCAAATACTGTAATTCACTGTTTTTTTGTTTTTAAACATAAACAGCATATCACAGACCTAATTCCTATACTTTGTATATAACAATGTATTTGGGAGATTGGAAGATATTTTCCAGTCTTTAGAATAGCTTTCTCATAATTCATTGTATGAACATTTAGTTTCAGTCTACCATCATGTGGTTCAACAAAGTTGAATATGGTGGTGAACTTGGGATGCTGAAGCAGAAGGCTCATGAGTTTAAAGCTGGGGTGGGGGGGACACTTTGTCCTTAAGAAAAATAATAAAATGAAATTAATTAAAAATTTAAAATGTGCCGGGCGTGGTGGCACACGCCTTCAATCCCAGTACTCGGGAGGCAGAGGCAGGCGGATCTCTGTGAGTTCAAGGCCAGCCTGGTCTACATAGTGAGTTCCAGGACAGCTGGGGCTACAGGGAGACCCTGTCTCAAAAAGACCAAAATAATAATAATAATAATAATAATAATAATAAAATAAAATGCATGCGTTCTAGCTAGGCATGGTGGTGCATGCCTTTAATCCCAGCACTCAGGAGGCAGAGGCAGGAGATCTCTGAGTCTCAGGCCAGATGGGGCTATAGGGAGACTCTGTCTCAAAAAAACAAAACAAAACAAAACAAAACAAAACATGAGTTCTAGATACTGAGGACTGTTTCTCACCTTTACTGATATAGATGGTTTAACTTTCTTGAAAGCTTCTTCAAAGTGTGTATGACTAATCTTAAGTTTGTCTGTAAAGGAAAGACATACACTTACATCTCAGTATAGTACCCTTACTTGAAAGACATCTAAGTCCTCAAGGCAAAACTGAGGTGAGTGATCAGATAGATTCTATTCAAGCACATTTACATATACCCCTCCACAGTCCTGCCAAAGGCTATGGCCATTTTCTTCACTGAGTATCACTGCCTTTTACTCAGGGAGTCAGGATTGGTACTGCTTGACAGCCAGGTCCCTCAGGAATCAAGAAAAACAGTTGAACTCAGATTTTTGCATGCTGTGGACAGAACCAAAAATTATCATTGTGGTCGCAGGTGAAATTGCCTTGAGGAAAGAGATGAGCAATCAGAACTGGAAATAACAAGAGTACCTATTATTCCCCAAGGATATAGTCTTGACATAAATTTATACTGCTGAATAACAGACCCTGGAACCCCCCTCAAAGGCAAAAATACAAAGGAAATACAAATTACAACACTGGATTGGTTGGTTTATAATTCTTTATGAGGTGAGGAAATTAAATAGCAAACAGACAGTACAATAATATATTTACCCATATAAAGTAATTATGTTTCTGAACATGTCAAATAGAAGTTGGATGACCAACTGACTTTTGGTTTTGGTGAGATATTAGTACAAAGTCCCTAAAGTCCAGATGGCTAGAAACACAGGCTATAGCACACCAAAGATGTGAGAATCTGTTCTATGTACATAGAAACAACATTCAGACAAAATAAGTAACAACTTCAACACATGGAAAGAGGCCTGTTAATTTCTACTCACCAGATTCATCTCATAAGTAGTACTCCACATTTTGTTAAGATTTCTGTTGCTGTTTTTTTTTTGGGGGGGGGGGAATGACAGAATCTCATAAGTGATCCTTGAACTTAAGATCCTTCTGCCTTAGTTTCCTGGGTATTAGGATTACAGGTATATAACTACACCTGGCTCTGATTTTTATTTCCTAAAATGTTCTATTTTTGCCCATTAGCATTTACTTTCAAAAGCAATTGAATATAGTTTATAATAAAAGTTCAGATAACTGAATCTTAAAAATTATCTAATAAAAAAAAACCCTCCTTTCCTAATAATAAACCTAAGCTAAAGAAAATTTAGCTTTAAGATTCACAAAAGAGCCCTATTGCATGGAATCAAGAAAACAAAAATCAATTTAAAAAAGATTTATGAGGCAGGTGGATCTTTGTGAGTTTGAGGCCAGCCTAGTCTACATAGTGAGTTCCAGGACAGCTGGGGCTACAAGGAGACCCTGTCTCAAAAAAAACCAAAAAAAAAAAAAAAAAAGAATTTATGGATGATAAAGAAGGGAAAATGAATATAAATAAAAGACACCTTTTGGATATCTATTAAATAATAGGCGATTAGTACTTGAAGTTCCCCTGAGGGCACAGAAGTACAAAACAGCATCTCAGAACACCCAGACAAAGTAAAGGTTTCTTTTACACTTAAAGGTTACTTCTATACTTGGCAGAGAGGAATGCAAAATAATAAATGAATCTTTTCTGGCCACTGCCACCCCCCAAACATTAACATCAAAAATACTGTCAAATGGGCTGGAGAAATGGTTCTGTAGCTAAGAGCACTTTCTGCTCTTCTAGAGGATGAGCAGTTCTCAGTACCCACATCAGGCAGTTCATAACTGCCTGTAACCCTAGCTCCAAGGAATAGGGTTCTGACCTCTGTGGGGACCTCATATTCACCCATACAGACACACATACAAAAATTAAAACAAAACGGAACCTTCAAGTGTGAAGGATAGGACAAACATGTTCTGAAAGTCCCAATTCATGGATTTTTGTGATGCTTGGGATAGAATCCAGATCTGCACATGGTAAGAAAGCGCTCTACCACCAAGTTTACAGGATGGCATCTGACTTTTTTTTTTTGGTCTTTCTGAGACAGGGTCTCTCTGTAGCCCCAGCTGTCCTGGAACTCACTATGTAGACCAGGCTGGCCTTGAACTCAGAGATCCGCCTGCCTCTGCCTCCCCAGTGTTGGGCTTAAAGGTGTGTGCCACCATGCCCAGCTCCGACTTTTTATTTTAAAGGAAAGTCTCAATATATGCAAGTTTTCCCTTCTCATGTATTTCTAATCTCTTGAATTTAGGTTAAATTTCCACCTTAACAAAACAATGAGAATTTCTAAAATTGCTAAGTAGCAAAGTCAGGATGAAGGCAGTAAATGGACCCATTTGCCGCTAAGATACGATGTTGCTTATTAGAAACACATTATATAAAGCTACTGTTGTCTTAGCTGTTAGCAACAGCGATCACTTAATATTCTAAGACAGATTCTAAAGGTCTCATTTTAAAAAGTCAACTTATTACGGCACACAAAGATGCAAGAAAAGGATCATTTTAGAGGGTAGCAGTGTCTTTAAATATTTAGAGTGATCAACTATAATGGAGAGATGCTGCAGAGACTCATACCTGTTCTGTTTCCACTCTTTTGTCTTGTCATCTCTTGTCTCAGGGCACAGAGAGAAGCTTCTCGTACCAGAGCAGAAAGGTCTGCACCCCTGTAATAAAAGTAGTGTTTTATACATTTCCAGCTATTCTCAAAGCCTAGGAAGATTTTCATTTATCATGTATTTAACAACGAGGAAAGACAGTGACCAGCAAACATGGGACAGACTGCAATCAGTACAAAAGAAGCTTTTCAGTTTTCACGTCAAGTACTTTTAACCTTTAGAAGACAGACTTTTGCATGATGTGATACAATGAAAATAAACATGCGCTTCCTCTTGCTGTAGATACTAATATAAAACGTCCAATCAGCTGGGGAAATGACCTGAGCTCAACCCAGAACACAATAAAGAAAACAGAAAAGGGGAAGAGCTGTCAGACAAGGTGGCAACCCTGGGGCTCACTAGTGAGCTAGCCCAGCCTGACCAGTTCTAGGTCTAGGCTAAAGAAAACCCCTATTTTAGCCGGGCGTGGTGGTACACGCCTTTAATCCCAGCACTCGGGAGACAGAGGCAGGTGGATCTCTGTGAGTTCAAGGCCAGCCTAGTCTACATAGTGAGTTCCAGGACAGCTGGGGCTACAGGGAGACCCTGTCACAAAAAGACAAAAAAAAAGAAAAAAGAAAAAAGAAAAAAGAAAAACACTATCTCACCGAACAAGGTGGCATTTCCAAAGGAACACCCAAAGTTGTTCTCTGGCCTACACATATACCTGCACATACATAGAGCCTTGTAAGTACTATGGTGGACGTATTGACTAGCACGTTCATTTATTATAATTATAGTAAGCTGCTGGGTGTGGTGGCGCACACTTTTAATCCCACCACTCATGAGGCAGAGGCAGGTGGATCTTTGTGAGTTCAAGGCCAGCCTGGTCCACACAGTGAGTTCCAAGTCAACTGGAGACCGTCTCAAAAAGACCCAAAAAAAAAAAAAAAAAAAATTATAGTAAGCTTAGAGCCATAAATGGGGGAAAATACAAAGCTGAGTAAACACACACACACACACACCAACTTCATTTATGTAATTATTCCAAGTAATGGTAACAGTCTGAGTCAGCAGTCCTATGAGGTTTACTGGGAGTTTGCAACACTATGGCTTTAACAGGATTCATAGGGATTCCTGAGGAAGTTTGAATTTTGGAACCAAATCCTCATTTCCAGGTACCAAATAACTGAGTGCCTATACTCCTCCTCCTCCTCCTCAGTAAACACACACACACACACACCAACTTCATTTATGTAATTATTCCAAGTAATGGTAACAGTCTGAGTCAGCAGTCCTATGAGGTTTACTGGGAGTTTGCAACACTATGGCTTTAACAGGATTCATAGGGATTCCTGAGGAAGTTTGAGAATTTTGGACAAATCCTCATTTCCAGGTACCAAATAACTGAGTGCCTATACTCCTCCTCCTCCTCCTCCTCCTCCTCCTCCTCAATAATATGTTCTTGGAAATATGTTTCTACGCTGAGTTTCAGATCCCTGAAGTCATCAAGGATGAAAGCACTGACTTGCTTGTTTTACTTGCTTGAGAAAATCCCAATATCGTTTGGCTTTGCTCTAAAGCATATCCTGAATACCAAGAGTCTTAGGGACAAACACAGAAGCTGAGTTATCTCAGTTAAACTTGAGTTTCTTTTCTTCCTTGTGTCCCAAAACTGGTAAAGCTGAGTTTCAGATCCCTGAAGTCATCAAGGATGAAAGCACTGACTTGCTTGTTTTACTTGCTTGAGAAAATCCCAATATCGTTTGGCTTTGCTCTAAAGCATATCCTGAATACCAAGAGTCTTAGGGACAAACACAGAAGCTGAGTTATCTCAGTTAAACTTGAGTTTCTTTTCTTCCTTGTGTCCCAAAACTGGTAAAGCTAATCAACAAATTTACTTTAAAACGTATGGGGAAAGAGAGAGAAAAAAGTACAAAATCATACACATAAAAGTAAAAGGCAGAATGTCAGGTGTCCTGCTGTTGCAGGGTGTGTGCTGATCTACACAAATAATTAGGCAGCCAGTGATAAAACATATGCCTCACATATTCTGAAAGACCTAAAAGCGAAGAGCAGAAATGTGGTTAGGGAAGCTTGAGTGCGGCAATTATATTACATGACAATCCAGCCCAGGAATTCCTTCAGAGCCACCAAATGGTCACACAGGCTGTTCTCTGAGAAAGTAGCAGCATGGACCAGCCAGACACTATACTACCCAGGATACTTCATTCAACTTTTCCAACAATCCAGGAAATCCTTTTCTTTCCTGTTGAAGAAACTGTACCCCAAAGGGTTAACAGACTTGAGACTTAAATACTCACGTATAGCAATTACAGCGAAGGTCACTGGCAATTGCTTCCAAACTTACATCTTCATCCAGTGGAGGTTTGGTGCCATTCTAAATGAGAGAAAAATTATTTTTTTTTGTTTTGAGATTTAAAAACTCACCTGTAGCTTAGCGTGGTGTCTCAAACAAAACAGGAAGCAAACAAACAAACAAAAAAACAAACTAAATCCAGTATTTTCGAGTGAATTCTTTCCAGCTCATAAAAGATGCTAGAAATGACAAGGATCAGAAGAGTGTCAAAATTTCAACACTAAACACAAGTTCTATTATGTATGCAAATCATACTAGCAATATTCTTAGATTACATGGCAGATGAAAACACTACGTAAGTTCTTCAAAGATTTACTTATTTTTTTTAGCTATATATATATATTTTTTAAAAAATATTTTATTATTATTATTTTTTTATTATATATATTCTTTATTTTTCAGAAGAAGCATTTCATTACAGCTTTAACATACTCAACAGTTTCCAGAGCAAAAATACTTCTCTTTCAAAAGTGGCTATAAAAGCTTTAGGTTCACTGTTGAATTAATACAGTTATACAATATTGAACTCAGTGAAAACCCTGTAAGACATAAAATTTTAGGTTCACTGTTGAATTAATGCAGCTATACAGTATTGAACTCAGTGAAAACCCTGTAAGACATAAAATTGAATGAGAATGAGTTTTTAACCTTTAAAAAAGATCTCCATTTCATTTTAAAATATACTGTTTCTTACAGAAAGACTCATTGATTTTGCTAATAACCCTGAGATGTTGGCGCATGTGTCTCTAATCTCTATGTATCAGATTATTACTAGTCATATATTCCGCTCAGATCCTTGGCACCTGTATAAGGCTATTGTTTTTTTAATTAAAAGAAGCATGTCATTACAACAGTATTAATCTATTCAATAACATTTTTCTGAGCTAGGGTACATCTCTTTCAAAATTGGCTGTACATTTCTAGTTTTACAGATGAATTATTACGC